TTGTCTCCCTCACAACTCCTCTATAATTTTGCTGATATTTCTATGAGCCAGGAAATCTCCAACTTGCTTTTAAGTAGTTCAGGATGTGGATGGCATCATGAAGAATAATCTTTGAAGAACAATGATTCGCTGTTACATTGATCAGTTGCTAATATTCGAGCCAAAATCGAGTTTTTCTTCCCGAAAAAACACTAGCTCCTTACCCACTGATGATATTTCTTCCCCCAACGATACAACTCGCCTCCTTCTTCCGATGGCTTCCTCCTCTTCGATGGTATTACTGGCCTGTTCCTCCCAAACAAATTATCTGCCTTATTCTCGTGAAGCATAGATCCTCCCATCGGCCTCCTTCTCCTCCCTCCGACAGTGTATTATTGAACTTCCTCTTCCAATAATAGTGCTGACCTCTTCCTTCCGATAACAACACTGTTGCCTTTTGCTCCCGGCTTTTTCCTCCTCCTGATGAAATCCTCGCCTTCCCTTCCCGTATTCCTCACTTGACCTCGAAACAGGAAACTATTACGGGGGGATTAAGCCCTCGAGATGTGTGAATATGCAGCACACACGGAAACTCTTCGCTCGGTGATGCTGAGAGGGAATGTGATGATGTTACGGTTCAGTGCGCCAGAACGCCTCCTCCTCTTAGTGCAGCAAAAATTCCTCGCCTTCTTCCTCATTTTGTCCTCACATCGACGATCAAAGCAATTTGTACCGGGCAAAAAAAGTTCGTTTTTCACGTAAAAATGAATACCGGCTCCGCGGAAAAAAAAAACGCCAGCAAATGTCAGTGCATCACTCAAATGCTGAAACAGCGCGTTGACAGACGTTCAGGGACATGTCATAAACAATCAACGTATCCAATCCATCTCTATTAAAATGAACAGCATCTTTTCAAAAATTACAGTCACACACGCACGCACACACACAGACACTGTAAAAACAACATGTCAACACGAACACATGCACAGAGATAAAACAACAAACATGTCAACACAGATACACATGCACACGCACACATACACAAATATTTACAAACAAGTCATCAGATACACACATACATACATAAACACACACAAACATACATTTTTAAGCAAAC